AAAGACTGACTTTTACTGAGATGGGAAGACATTTTTTGAGCAGAGTTATGATATGAACTGACTTTTTTTTTCCCTCCACACTGCACGGCTTGCAGGATCTTATTCCCAACCAGGCAACCAGGGATTGAACCCGTGCCCCCTGCAGTGGAAGCACAGAGTCCTAACCACTGGACAGACAGAGAATTCCCTGAACTGACTTGTTTTTAAATGATCCCTCTGGCTGCTTACTGTGTTGATAGAAAACCATAGGAGATCAAGGATGGGAAGGAGATCAAGGAGATCAGGAAGACCACTTGAGACGCTATTGTAGCCATCTTTCTCCTTTACCCTTTTTCCTTTCTTGGGTCAATTACTGTATCTCCAGATTTTTCTCTTGCCTTACTAACTGTTTCCTTCTATAGTTCCTTCTCCAGCACATCTTCTCCAATTTCCAAATGTTGGAATACCTCAGACTTGGTCCTAAGATCCTTCTTGTATCTAGGTCCATTCACTGGTGATCTCACGCAAACCTCTAGCTTTTAATGGCTTTAATACCTATGATTTATGCTGGTAATGCACAAACTTGAGAGATTCAGCCCGGAGCTCATACTCATAAACCCAGTAGCCTACTTGGTATCCAAACTGGAACTCTTCACTTCTTGCCAAACCTTTCCTCTCCTAATCCAGGCTTTCACACCCCAGTAAATGACACTATATTTGCTCAAGGTGAAAAACAGTCATCTTTGTTTATTGTTTTTTTTTTTTTTTTTTTGCGGTACGCGGGCCTCTCACTGCTGTGGCCTCTCCCGTTGTGGAGCACAGGGTCCGGACGTGCAGGCTCAGTGGCCATGGCTCACGGGCCCAGCCGCTCCGTGGCATGTGGGATCTTCCCGGACCGGGGCACGAACCCGTGTCCCCTGCATCGGCAGGCGGACTCTCAACCACTGCGCCACCAGGGAAGCCCAACAGTCATCCTTAATGCCTCTCTTTCCTTCATTTCCACCAGTCCATCAGCAGGATGTGTTTTTCTATCCCTGAATGGATGAGCTATTTCCTCCACAATGCTATGTGTCAAATAACTTCAAAAATCTCAATGGCTTAAACAATGAATATTTTTCTCACTCACAATACTGTCAGTCAGTTGGTGTTTGGCTGAGTTTGCCTGGGCTTGGCCTACTTGACTGCAGGCCGCAGGGTGGGTTGAGGTCTGTGTGTTCATTCTGGGGCTCAGGCTGAGGGGCAGCAGCTACCCCAGGGATGACCACATGGTGATATCAGAAGCTCAGGAGGGAAAACCAGTCATGCTGGCACATTTCAAGCTTCTGCTCACATCACTTCCCATTGGCTGAAGCAAGTCACATAGACAAGCCTAAAGCTAAGGAGTGGGAAGTACACTATATCCACTATGAGGCCACAGCAAGGGGGTGGCTATATAGTATATTATGGGGATTGAAGAATTGGTACTAATTATTCAATTGCTCAGTCTCCCACAACCTCCTGAAGAATTGTATCTCTCCCCAAATCCACTATTAGCCTTCATCTCTTGCCCCAGACAGCTATCTCTGTTTTCATCATACCTAGAGCAATGCCTGGCATTAGTATATGCTCAGTAAAAAGGTATTGAATAAACAACTCCCAACTGATCTTCCTGGTTACATTTGTCACTCTTTGGTCTCTTTCTACGTAGCAGCCAGGGTGGGGTTTTAAAACTGTAAATCCTATCTGTGATATAATAAAAAGAAATATATTTGGTCTTTGTCCCAAGTTCCAGGCACACAGCTACTAAATTTCTTGGAATTTCCTGGGTAATAAGAGTGATAGGAGCATCTTTTATTCTAATGACATGACTCTTGGTGGGTTCTAGATAGCTTCAAGGTGGGGGCTGGTTGCCAGAAAGACCAAACCTAGATTAGAGGCTTGCAACTTTCAGCCCCACCTCCCAACCTCAGGGGAGGGGAGAGGGGCTGGAGATTGAGATCAATCACCAATAGCCAATGATTTATTCAGTCTTGCCTATGTAATGAAACTTCCATAAAAACCCCTAAAGGACAGGGTTCAGAGAGCTTCCAGGCTGGCGAACACATTGAAATGGTGTTCACTGGGAGGGTGGTGTGCCCAGTGAGGGCATGGAAGCTCTCTGACCTTTCCCCCGTACCTTGCCCTATGCATCTCTTCTGTTTGACTGTTTCCGAGTTGTATTCTTTATAATAAACTAGTAAACATAAGCAACATGCCTTCCTGAGTTCTGTGAGCCATTCTAGCAAATAATTGAACCTGAGGAGTGGGTCGTGGGAACCCCAGATGTACAGTCGGTTGGTCAGAAGTACACGTGGCAACTTGGGACTTGCAAACTAGTTTCTAAAGTGGGGGCAGTCTCGTGGGACTGAGCCCTTAACCTGTGGGGTCTGCACTAGCTCCAGGTAGTTAGTGTCAGAATTGAATTGTAGGACACCCTGTTGATGTCTGCAGAGAACTGGAGAATTGCTCGGTGTGGAAAAACCCATACACATTTGGTGTCAGAAGTGTTGTGAGTAAAAACAGCTCAGACTATCATATTAGTCCCAATTTAAAACCCTGCCGTGGGTTCCCTTTGCTCTTGAACTTCTTACAATGGTCTTTATAAAGGCATCTCTTATCCAGCCAGGCCTGGCTCTCCAAACAATAGCATCTGGTACCACTCACTTCCCTCTGGCTAACTGCCCTTTTCTTCCTCAAATATTCCAATGCTTTTCAGCTGCAAGACCTTTGTACTTGCTGTTCTTCTGACTGGAATGCTTTTTCTCAAGATCCTGGCATGCTAGCTTTCTCTCATCCTCAGCTTCAGCTAAAATGTCACCTCCTTAGAGGCCTCCCTGACCATCAATACTTAAAGACCCTCTTCCCATTCCACCCCTACCCCTGTTATGTTTTATCACCATCACCTTGTTTATTCCTTTCATTGAGTTTATCACTCTGTAAAATTACCTTGTTTTGTTTATCACTAATCTCTAGCACCTAGAATGGTGTCCGGCACAGGTTAAGTGCTGTATAAAAATTCATTATATTAGTATATGGGAAAACATTTCCTCCACATTTTAAAAGACATTCTTTGCTATCTTTTATTTCCATCTACTCATCCATATATAAAATGTTATAAGTAAGTCCAGATAAAATCAACTCAGGAGAAATAAAAATAGTGCAATGTTTGTGTTCGTAAAGAAGAAATTAGGGACTGGAGTTGCTTCAGCCTGTGTTGTGGCATCCTTGAAACTTGTGCCTCTAGGGCACTGATCTGTGGGGTTGAAGGTCAGTGAGGCCTCCTTCCACCTCCCTTACCTGACTTACCTTTTCTCTTTTTCCATTCTCATCCCTAGTTAATGTACGAGATTATTTACTTATTTACAATTATTGTTTGTTGCCTGTCTCCCCACTCCCACCCCCGCTGTGAGCTTCATGGGCACATGAAGGCAAGGATCCTATTCTGTTTTTTCTGGTACTCAGTAGATGTTCACCCAACTGTGGGATGAATGGATGAATGCATGAATGTTTCAAAGAAGAGAAAGGAATCTGGGAGGTTCTGAATCAATCTCTTCCTCCAAGTCTTCCCAGAGTAAGGTCACCCTCACCATTGCACAGTCTACCTCCCAAGACACTACAGGCAAAACCTCCACAAGGTATAAATGTTTTACTAGTTTATTCATTGTCAGGATGGCTTTACTTGTATATTTATAAATCTATCTTGTGTGCCTGTTGATGCTTTGTGTGTGAATCCTTTATTCACTCTAGAGCTAGTGTAAGGAGGAATTTAGCTTGGTATTTATGACATTGTGATAGGAAGTGACATCATGATAGGGCAAAATCTGATGAAGTTGAGCTCAGTCCTGTAGAGGCTGTTTCCTCTATGACACAGACTACTTTTCCTCTTCCCACAAGAAAAGCCTAATAGTTGTTTAAATGCTGGATAAAGCTGAGCAGTTAAATTTATCAAGAAGGTATTGGAAGAAGAGGAGCAGGAGAGTACAAGAACTAAAAGTGTCACAACTTTGGTAGGAAGTGGCCACTTCAGAATCTTCCCAATTAGCAGGTATGTTTCTCTTTTAATTTCATGTTTTCTTAGGATGATGACATTAAAATATTCTGTTCTTGGTTATTTTTCACAAACCTTATTGTCCTCATGAAAACCCTCCAGTCCCTCAAAATATCAACAGAGAGAAATCTTTCTTTAAAAGATAAACTGTTTTTTTTTCTTTGAAACAACTATGTTGGGAGAGAAATTCTTCCTTTAGTTTGAATAGTCATACTTTTTAGTTGCTTGGAGGTGGTTACATATGAATCTTCATATAAACTTGTATCTATCTCATTTAAAAGAAAAGATGAAAGAAGAGAATTAGCTCATTAATTATTTAAAATACTTGGTGCAACTGTTCCTTATGAATTAATCGAGGCACTTGGAAGACAATTAAACTCAGTGTTAATAACATTGCCAACCTTTTCCAGTATGCTGCACTCCAAATACTATTGTGTTTTCATTGACAACATTCACTATTACATATGCATGTGAAAAACAGGCCTTTTCATCAGAATTACTATAATAGCATTAAGGGATTATTATTTTTTCCGATTTCTTTGGAAGAAAATTCACTTAAATTAGATTATTTATTACTTGACTGCTCTCCTATCTTGCCTGTATTAGGTAACTGGAGTTCATGAAAGTATAAACTTCAGAATAAAAAGCATGATTTTATACATTAATGATTTCCAATAAAAGAGGAGTGTTAGTCTGTGCATCACTTCTTTTCGAGAAAGTTAAGTCTGTGTTCTGCTTAGGAGAGATAACACTTTTTGTCCCTGTACGTGGCCCCCCTGGTGTAACCATTAGTTGCTAATTACTTGCAAACAAATAAACAATTAACTCCTGGAGCTGCTGGCTGGGCCAGTGTTCATTGACATGCTAAAACTTTCTAAGACGGGATTTTAATTAGTGACGTTCTAAATCCAGCCCCCATCGTCAGCGGAGCCATAAGGTGAACTGCAGGAAGGTTCAGCCCGGTACACGTGGGGCAGAGCCAGCCAGGGAGGAGTGGAGAGGCCAGAGCTATAGCTCTGTGCAGCCCACACGAGGATGTCTCCCAGCCTTCAAGAAGGTGCTCGGCTTGGGAAAAGCAAACCCCTGCCCTGCTCCTTTTCAATTGAGAGCATCTTAGGACTGGACCAGAAGAAAGACTGTGTTCCATCAATGAAACCCCACAGGCCCTGGGCAGACACCTGCGGCTCTTCAGGTATGCCACAACTTAATTTTTAAAATTCTTTGTTAATTAGTTTGCAATGTTTAATTTGACCTTTTTTTCGTACTACATAGACTTAGAGAAAAACTGCAATTTCATCCAATTACATAATTGAAGAATCTAGCACTTTTAATGCCTCCAGCTGAGTCCTATGGGAAATAAAAAGAACATCGGCCTTAGATCCAAGTGGATATGAAGTTCACCCACAGGAAATGCCAAGAACCTTCATTTTCTTCAGAAGATCTCTGGGTGTATTTGCCATATCAGATATTCTAAATCTCTTTTCACTGAAAAATAAATGACATTCAGAGGCCAAAATATGTCCTCTATCAGCAAGGCAGGGTTTTCATTTTTGTTTGCTTTTTGGATTTTGGTCGATGAAAAGTCAGTTCTCCTGTGAAACCCAGAAGAATTCTACTAGGAAAATTAAAGACAAGTTCCTGAAATTACTTCTTATAGAACTTTGTGGAGTATAGAATTGGACATCTAAGGTGGGATTTATTTTTCTGTTTTTAGGGAAAGAGGTTAACCTATGTCTACATGTCCCGAGTCTTCCTAATGGGATCTCATTACCTTGTACTGTGGATCACTCAGTGCCGGAAGAAAGTGTTTTGAAATATGAAGATTACTTTTCAGCCTCAGAAAGACTTTCTTTGAAAAGAGAGTTGAGTTGGTATAGAGGCCGAAGACCCAGAACCGCTTTTACTCAAAACCAGGTAGGAAGTTTTTTCAACCAACGATCGTAATACAAAGGCTTTAACTGACACCCTGTTGGGCAAAAGCCTATCCACCTTGGGATCTCAGTTTAGAATCCTTATTAATGAAACAATAGACTGTATCTCTCTCTCTCTCTTTAACAGTTTCTGGATAGTAATTTTTTTAAAAAAGGCATACAGATTAATTGCCCAAGATTTAAATGCAATTATGTTGCTATACAAATTAAAGTCTATTTTATGATAACATACCAAAGATCAACACTTTAAATAACTGTTTCCTTATTCTTAGATTGAAGTGTTGGAAAATGTCTTTAGAGTAAACTGCTATCCTGGCATTGATATCAGAGAAGACTTAGCTCAAAAATTGAACCTAGAGGAAGACAGAATCCAGGTAATTTTTTAATTTAGTTATTACTCGTGGTAATTAAAATGTTAAGAATAATAAAATAACATTTCTCAGATCTGTTTTTTTTTTCCTTAATTTTAGATCTGGTTCCAAAATCGGCGTGCAAAGCTGAAAAGATCCCATAGAGAATCACAGTTTCTCATGGCCAAAAAAAATTTCAACACAGATCTCCTGGAATAGATAGAAAACTAAACATGGGGAATTATCTTCCAATTGTGGAATATAAAGAATCAATGGGGATATCAAGTGTTAAAAATGTGATGTTTTCTTTTCTGTGTTTAATCTGAGTATTGTCTGTTTTTTCTGAAAATATATTGTAAATAATTACTATTATAACATGGTACCTATTATACTTGGGCACTTTTAGTTACAATAAAGGCCTTTCCTATATATTTTAATAAACATTTTCAGAAAAAGCCAGCTATTTTTTGTGAGCAAATTTAATCTAATAAATTAGTTTGCTAAAATCAGTAAACTCATGACTAATTGACTCCACAAATGGATTCCATTTACAAAATAATTCAAGTCAAATAATCTGAAGAATGGCACAAAGGTGTGATTTGTTTCAATAAGTTTCCTTCAACTGCATTTTGAAACATTATACTTAAACATATTAGTGTGATGTATTCGTGAATCTTTTGTTCCTCTTGATTTCTGGCAGAAAGCAGTGAGAATTTCTCACTATATATCAATACAAATCCGTATAGCATTCCAGTTTCAAGTTGTTTTTTTTTAAAGCAAAGTTATTATTGCCAAAGTAGAGATGTAAAATCATGAGTTGTCTTATTCATGCCATTAGTATTGCATTGCACAAAAGAACTGAGCTACAAATAAATGCAAATTTTAAAATATTTTTCTAGTCCACTTAATGTTGTGCTTTACTTGCATTCATCAAAGTAAGAATGATCATCTGGCTTGTATCTATTTCCAGTTTAGTGATTTCCAATCACCTGTATATTTTGTTACAAGTAATATGTTGACTGAGGAGGTAAGATAACTCTCCTGCCTTTTGTATATGTTCTGACATTGTCACTGGAAATAATCAGGGCACTTTCTGGGCCAAAACTGTATTTTCTTTGCATTTGCCACTGTACCTGCCAGTTAAAGACAGGAATAAGGTAAGATGCGTCACAAGGGAGTCCTGCCACTGGAGATCTGGGTATTTATTTTCCAGTTAATTAACGGAAGGCCAAAGTGGGTGTTCTTTTTGATATGAGCTGGAGAACGCTGACTTTGTTTCCTGGAAGCTGTATTTCAAGTTTGCCCATTTGGATTGAATTCTCCCTTGCTTGCGTTTTTTTCCTTCCTATTCCTCTGCCCTTCTTTTCTCTTCCGGTAATGACCAGAGTAGAATAATTCTTGTTGAATTATTGAGTCTCTGCCCCTTATATATTTTTTTCTTTCATTCTTTAATTGCATGGAAAAGACTAGAGGAGTTTGTATCTTATTGCTGAGGAAAAGTACCATGACTCAGATTTTAGAGCTTTTAAAAAATCATTTACTGAGAACAATTTGGGGTAGAGAGCTCTGTGTCCCAACAGCTGGTCAGCAGTAAGCTGTGCTTATCCTGTTTCACTATTGCTGAGATGGAGAGAGAGGAGGAAGAGAAAGGCAGCAGGGAAGTAACTGGAAGAGCAGAAGCATTAAATGTTTTCCAAGAAGTCTGTGCTGTCACCCTGTGGGGCCACTTTTTCTAACATAAAGAGCTGCTTTCAGTAATATTATAAAATTCAAAGCACTATTTATAAAATATATCAGTCACAATTTATCCACCAAGAGCTTTCTTTGCTCTTCGTAGGTTCCTATGAAATCATATTAAGGTGGAGGACTAGAAGTCACCAGGAGTGGGTTTGAGGGGAAAGGATCATGTGATGGGTAAGCTTTTTCAAATAGCCATTTATTTTAATCCCAAAGGTCATGTTTACATACTGTAAACAATTCAAGCATTATAGAAGTAGAGTAAAACCTCCCTCAAATCTCATCCTTCACAGATAACCATCATTAAACATTTTTGTAGATCTTTCTGTGTATAAAAGCACATATATATCTATACATGTATATACACACATGTGTATATGTTTGTTGTTTTTGCTGTTGTTATTTTTTATAATGTCATCACACTTGACATTCTGTGCATCTTTCTAACATCTTGCAGTTTCGGAGATATAGCTCTGTCTCCATCTTAATGTTTGCTTGGCTTAGCAAGTCCTGTGTATAACTAACTATTTCACAATGTTAATATTTAAGTATTTTTGAACTAGTACTTTTCACAAATTGAGATTTTTGAAAGAGTAATCATAGGTTATCTAGAATTTATCTAAAATTAAACCTAACCCCCAAATCTGAGAAGTATGAGGATTCTGTATAAAATTATAGACTTTAGAAAAAAATGAAACAGCATCACAAACATTGATCAACAACTAGAAGTGCAATTAAACTTTTTTTTTTTTTTTGGCCACACTGCACGGCATGCGGAATCTCAGTTCCCCCACCAGGGATCAAACATGCACCCCTTGCAGTAGAAGTGTGGAGTCTTAACCACTGGACTGCCAGGAAGCCCCTAAACTTTTTTTTTTTTTTTTTTTTTTTTTGCGGTACACGGGCCTCTCACTGTTGTGGCCTCTACTGTTGCGGAGCACAGGCTCCAGGCGCACAGGCTCAGCGGCCATGGCTCAAGGGCCTAGCTGCTCCGTGGCATGTGGGATCTTCCTGGACCGGGGCACGAACCCGTGTCCCCTGCATCGGCAGGCGGATTCTCAACCACTGCGCCACCAGGGAAGCCCCCTAAACTATTTTTTAATTATACAAACTTACCATATCTATAAAAAGTCTGGTGAGGAAAGAAATGTAGTAACCCTAGAATATCATTATCTCATTATTTTCCAGTGACAGCTTAATATAACTGATTTATGTGATTCTAAAATTCAATTTTGTGTATAATTGAAATAGTGTTTATAACCAGTTATGTATTTATAACTGAAATCATTAATAATAGAAATTATGCATCTATAACTAGAACAAGTAACATTTCGAAGTCAGAAAAAATTAAATATAGAATTTGTAATATTAAAGAAGTAACTATGAATGTAATATGCATATCCTTTTATATTTTCAGATACTAATAACAATATTATTAAATATTGTGAAGTGAGTTGATAATATGTAAGAATATTCAAGAAGTAAGATAATATACAAGATCACTAGTGTATTTACCCTAAAATCATTTCCAAAAACCTAAAAGATAAAAGGCTGATCTTGTTAAAGGAAATAATGGGTCAGTAACTCTCTTTAACAATTAAAATTGCTAGTAAATTGGAGAGAATATGATGATATTCAAGGGAAAAACTGGACTTCAGCTTTGAGGAAAAATCAAGCAAGATGAAAATGGAAATGAAAACCCCAGATAAAATTATCTTTCCCTCAAAACACGAAGGCTCTCTCTAATCCACAGCTTAACTCTGCTGCAAGTAATTCCAAGCCTTTGTCTCCATTAATGCCTAGGACAAGGTGAACAGTAGTAACAAATCAAACTAATGCAGTCAGGCTAATACCTGGAGCGTCTCTATTATCTGTCGACTGCCTAAATAAGGTTATTTGGTCTCCCGTAATGGCATTTGTCTCTTGTGAAGCCAGCCAGACAAAGCCCGTCACTAACGAGTGCTGGTGGAAACAATGGCTGTGTGTGCTGGTGGTCAACTTTTGAGTTAATCAGTGTTAATAGCCGCTTTCACCCCCTGCATCTTGTCACACATTTATGTGAGTGGCATAAATCCCCCATTACCAAACCCAACACACACCATCAACCTGGGCCTTGTGCTTACTTCTAGTCCGTTTGCTGTATGCTAGTCCATTTATTGATACTTGACGTGGAACCCAAATCAAAGTACGACAAATAGTGACTTGCTATCTCCATTTCACCGAGCCCCATAGGACTAAAAGGCCCTCCATGTGCCTTTGGCTAAATTTAATGTTCATCTTGACTGTTCTGTCTCCTGCTGGGGCACCAACCACAGCAGCAGAGCAGCCAAGGCAGCTCTTGGTGGCTCCCACACTCTACATTCCCTTTTCCATTTTCCTCCCTCCTATTCTCTTGTTTTCCACCCTTTTCCTTTTTTGCCTGCTAATGCCTTGGTAAGCTTGTTGGTGTCAACAGGCTTTACTGCCTCCAGCAAATGAACTTTCAGCCTAAAAACTTTATTGCTTACCTTCAGTCTAGTAAAGAGTCACCAACATGTAGGAACTTAGAGTTTGTTCTCTTCCTCCAGACTTCCATGGGTGGCCTAGTGGGCTATCTCCTTTATTTAGCATTTTATGGCTGGGTGATTTCAGTGAAATAAATGATACCACAGTTTATGTCCTATTTACCACATTGTAAGCTTGAAAAACTATGCACCTATTATATCTAGTGTTGGTCAGGAAATTGCTTAACAATTTGTCGTTTTTATGAGGCCCAACCACTTTGATTGTTATTTATGGATTTGTGTTGTGCCACCACTTGATCTCTCTAGTTCAGTCAAGTCAGTCAATCAAAACATACTCATTGGAGGCAGCCTAGCCCTGTAGTCAAAAATCGGGCTATTGTCTGGTCACCTGGGTTCAAACCCCAGCAGCTATTTGACTTTGGGCCAGTTACTCAATCTCTTTAAGCCTCAGTTTCCTCATCTATAAAATGGGGATAATAATGGGACCTATTTCATAGAATCATTGGGGGAATTAAGTGAGTTAATAGATAAGACTTAGACTAATGCCTGGCACATATAAAACACTCAGTAAATGTTAGCTCTTGTTATAATAATGTGCTAGAGATAATGTGCTAGGGAATATAGAAGTAAAGGCAGTGGTCTAGAACAGTGTTTTCATGTCTGGAACAATGTATGGCACATATTAGGTTCCAAATCAATAGTCATAGAGCAAATGAAAACAGTTCTTGGTCTCCAGGAACTCACCATATGGTGGAGAGAAAACCTATTCAACAGTTATTTAACAAATATTTATTCAGTGTCTGCTGTGAACCAGTCACTGTGTGAGGCTTTAGGGAAGGAGTGGTGAACAAGTCAAACAAGGTCTCTGCTGTTTTAGAACTTAGCATACCCAGTGCCCAGCACAGTCAAGGCAAGTAGTTGGCCCACGATAGATGGTGAATGAGTGAATGAATGAATGGCACAGAAAAAACACAGGGAAGTATATAGTTAGGGACTAAATTAACGTGTGTAGATGGTTAGGACTACTGTAGACTATAGGAGGGGAAGGATCAGAGAGATGTGTAAAGATCATTCCTCAACTTGTTGCCCCTACTTGAATGCATCTGGGAAAAGACTAAGGCTTAATGTGGGAAGGAGCTGGGTGTTGGTGGAAGGGTGAGGGAACAATATGTGAGAAGACTCAAAACCTGGACAGCATGAACAGTGGCTTCCTTAGGGTGGCAGGTGCCTATTGGCAGGGCCAAATTCATGGCCGTGGAACCCACGCAGTTACACAGGGCCCTGTGCTCAGAAGGGCCCTGCATTTGGTTTCATGCTCTGCTGTTGCCATTTTGAAAGTCTTAAGTTTTTGACCAACAGGTGCCACATTTGCGTTTTGCACTGAACCCCTAAAATTCTGTAGCCAGTCCTCCCTGTTGGAGGTAGATACAGAAAAAGGCCAAGGAAGTAAAATTTGATATGGTGGTAAATAGCCACATTTGGCTATTGAACTAGTGTTGCAGCATGGCTTAGGAAGATAGAAGCAGGACGCAGGGAGAAGAAAAAGGCTGGATTGAGGGGATCAACCTATCTGCAGTTGCAGTATGTGCTTTTGAAGTTGTTGAGGGCATGGATGA